AAGGGTGTCTGATCCAGTAGGGACTGAGTTTTCCTCATGTAGGCGATGACTCTTTCATCTCTTTCTTGAAGATTATCTTTCCTACGTTAGAAAGTCTCCTTACCGAGTTCCTTTTTCTGACTCTTCCTGGGAGTTTTCATCTCTTTTCTGGATTTATCCTCTTCTTCTGCCTTTTTCTGTGCTCCTTCTGCTTCTGTCATTCTGTCTCTGCAATGACCCGTGACAGAGGGCATGACCAATAATCAGTTTCAATCTTGGTGGGTGGGTCGAAGTCAGGGACTAGGTTATGGGGAACTTGGATGACTTGATGATAAGATCCTCAATGAAAGGCTTGCTCTGAGAGCTGCCTTCCATGGATTCTCTCTGCTTGTGGATGCATGGCTATTTGTCCATGTTAGAATCTGAGTAGGATGATGGTGGAAATGGGTCAGGGTGTTCTGGGAGGTCCCAGTGATTCTTGAGGTGAAGCATGGGAGATGGTTCCAGAGGTCCAGCTCTCTGCCCACACCTCTGGGGATGTTGGGAAGATGCAGATTTGGGTGACAGCGAGATCTTGGCTTCTGAGTACTGAGTAGTACTTCTGAGTAGTAATTCCCTATGTTCCAGGAGGGAATTAGGGATAGTGACGCTTGTAGATCATGATGAGGTCAGGCTATCCCATGTCCAGGATAGTTTGTCCTTGGGGGTGGCAGCCAAGTCCTCGTAGCCCAACACCTTGATGTCCGTGGCATTTGTGTGCAATTTTTCTAACTGACATTAGAATAAATACACAACTAATAAAATAGTTGTAAAAGTTCATCTGTGCATTATATAAAATAAGCCACGTTACCACCAGTGGTTTGTGATGAAGTTTGTGAAAGTTATTGTTGAAGGACTATAATACCAAACATAACTTGAAAAGTTTAAAGTAACTGTTTTTTTTAAATATAAATGTTTAATTTTATGTAAATGCCTAAAAGTAGGCTCTATGTGGCATTTTGGTAAATTAGATGTAAGAACAATGGGCAACAAATTTGATTGCATGATAATTAACTTTGTTATATAGATAATTTAGGCCTACATATATGACATGGATGTATTCATAGTTAATATCATATATAATATACATGATGCTAATGTATTATGTGAGCTAGAAAACATTTACCAAAATTAAACATTTTAACAGATGATATATAAATAATGAATTGAAAGAAACATGTAAACAATTTTCTCTACAACTCAGTAGTCTTGAACTACTCAGGATTGGGTCATATCTGAATCAACATCAAAATTTGACTGTTTCGATGAACTGATGATTTTCTATTTTTGAAGGCTCTGCATTTTTTTGTCTTGATCTCTTGAGGTGCAGTGGTTTATTTTATTATCTCCCCTCCACAATTTCTAATTATTTGAATACTTTTATTTTAGTTGTGCCATGGTGGTTGCAGAACAAAACAATAGATTAGGAAATCAGGAGAACAACTGCTGCAGAGCCAATACACGCAGATTTAGCTGTACTAATTAGTGGTTTTCAAGAATGTTAAACATAGATGTATTTTCCTGGGAAAGCTTCAGCTACAAACAGAACAAAACATAGGTAGCTGAATTGGCAAAGAGGGACTTTGTAGACTGCCGACTCAGGGTTGCATCACTTCACAGTTGTTTACTATGAACTTAAGGGCAAACAGGACTCCTTCAGTTTTTGCTTATAAAAGCAAAGGGAAAACCTTCTATTTTAAGTAGGATGTGGCTTGTAGAAGCATCTTATTAAAATGACATTCTCCCTGTGGGCATATGTCTTAAGAACCAGTTCACCCAGCCTAAAATCAATTACTTCTGCCTATGGCAAGGAAAGTCAGAGTTAAACATAATTCTCAGAGGTAGTTAGCATTCCATTGAAGGTGATGCTTCCATCCAAGAGAGGAGTTGCCCAATTTAATCAATTCTCTGCGTGTTAAAACTTAGATAATAAACAACTTAAATTATAAACAGTGCAATTATTAGGTATAACAATTAAGACACTGTGTTTTAACTAGATAATTCACAAGGTAATCAATGGTTAGCCAGAGAGTTCTAGTTGCTTAATACTTATTTGAACTCTTACTCAGAAATGAATACAGAACATTTTTGCCTATTAACTCATTCCCATGAGTGTAGACTTGCCCTACTCTCTTGTTTTGCACATTGCAATAAGAGCTTTCTTTCCAAAGGAAAATTTTAGGTTGCTCTTTGCTTAAAATAGCCATTTTACTCTTCTGTGCTCTTTTGGTAGAATTCAAACACATTTACCGGCTTAGTGGGTGCCTCATAATCACCCTATTTGCTTCTTTAACCTCATTTTTTTTATCTCTATACCTCCCTCCTTTCTTTGACTTAAATTCTATGCTCTGGTCATTCCGGATTTTTTTTTAATTTCTCCAGACATGATATAATCTTTCATTTCTGGACATTAATATAAGCTTTTGCCTCTACCAGAGACTTTCTTCTTCTGCTTTTTGCCTAATTTATTTCATCATTTAGATTTCAGCATAGATACTAATTCCACTGGACATCTTTCCCTAACTGGCTGAGATGGAATTGATATTCTTTCTGCACAGTCCCATTGTGTTCTGTTTTACACCTCTCCTTGGTCTCTCCATGCTGAACTTGCTGGTTTATTTAATCCTGTGCCTCTTCTTCACCCTGTTGTATTCATATAGGCTGAGCATTAAACAGGTAGTAGTTGCTCAAAAAATGTTTATTGAATGATTACATGATAAACTTCTAGTTAATGTAAAGGTGTTTCTCAATCTCTTATGGTTAATAAAGAAATGATTCTCAACACATCCCAGAAATTTGATCCACTTCCATTAGAAGCTAGAGCTTATGTTGTAGTGATTTTAACAGCAAATGGGAGGCATAGGGAGATCTCCATTATATAGAGTGTGTGTGCATGTGTGTATAGGCGGGGTGTATTTAGTTTGATGTGTTCCCAGGTAACTCATATCTTCCTCTACAGAGATACAGGTTCAGAACTAGATCCAGTAATTTAGGCACAGAAGTGTCAAGTCTTCCTAAATTAGCTACAATTTAAATATGACTTAAAAATCTTTACACCTAAAACTTGGGGAGGGAAAAAGAAATACTTTATCATTTGGATGTTACAAAAGAGAGAGAGAGAGAGAGAGAGAGAGAGAGAGAGAAATGGCTAAGCAATTACCTGTGCCTCCATTTTCCCAGTCTAGTTGTAATAGTTCCATTTCTCACTTGGGGATCCTTTTACTTTCCATCAATGAGATCTGAGGGTACTATTGTCAATGGCTTCTTCAAGATCAGGGCTTAGCTGACCTGGCCCCCTGTTTAAGACGTATATGGAGGTGCTCATTGGGTTCTAGGGTTTACCCAAGTAGCATAAATTTTAAACTACAGATAGAAATATATCTATAAGAAACTACTGTCTCTTTTTCTCGTTAGAGTTGAGTTGTGTATTCATACTAAAAAATGAAAAATGAAATAATACATGGATATTAGAAAGTTAGGTATTTAGAAATTTAGAAAAAGCAAATAGTGGCTTTTGGAATCATCACCCTTTAGGGATAAATTAGAAGGGAGTCCCAGAAGCCTCAGAATTCTCTCATATCAGTAAAGAATTCGCAGCTACTGTCTTAATCCTGGATAGGAGTTATGGAAGCATTGGGAAAGTATAAGGGGAAAATGGTTTTACTGAGCTATTTTTAAATTTTTGCACCCTATATCTCAGAGAAATAAGGCTTTTATAGAGAAGAATTTACTATTTGAGAACTAATCACTGAGGAAAATAATCAATTGGTCAATTAATAGTATGGAGATAGGAGGCTCACCTCTTAGAAAAGGAAATTTGACTCCTATAGCACATAACATATAGTTGTTGATATAATCAACCAGATTTACATCTTAAATGTAAAAGATGTTTTGTAGTGGTAATATAGGTAAATTGTATAACTACTGACATTAGTAAGTCCTTTAAAAACAATACCAGAAGCCAAAGTCATCATAAACCTCTCTATTAAAATTCACTACAAAAATTAAAAAATAGATGTTTTTCTCTCATATATAAGTGTCATACATACATATATATTACAGATATATGTAATATATCTACGGTATATATATGACAGATTGAGGAAATATTTGGAAAATAAATACCTAACAAAGAATTTTCTTAATTTATCATGAAATATCACAAATAAATAAAAAATAAAAATGAAAATATGTTAGAGATAAACAGGCACTTCCTACATGCAAAAGATAACCAACAACAGCAAAAATGAAAATGTTGAAAATCAGTAGCAAAGTAAAAAGATGCATTATAGGGGTGCCTGCATGGTTTAGTCGGTTAAGCGACAGACTCTTGGTTTTGGCTTAGGTCATATCTCATGATGGTGAGATCAAGCCCTGCCTTGGGCTCCATGCTGAGCGTGTGGAGTTTGCTTCAGATTATCTCTCCTTCCACCACTGCCCCTCTCCCACTCGCTTGCATGCTCTCTCTCTCTTTCTCACTCTCTAGTTTTTTTTATTTTATTTTATTTTTTAGATAGTCTTTTAAAGAAAAAATACATTATGAAAATGTGTAATTTACATCCTTTTTGACAAAGGACAAATGTTTGGTAATACTGTATGTTGTCAGAGGTATGGGAAGAAATGTACTCTTATATACAGCTTGTGGGGTAGGCATCGATACACTTAAAAACATTCAATTCTATTGGCACCCAGCATTCATTAAAAGATATAAGTAAATCAATGATAAAAATGCATGTACAAAGATATTAGTGTACATCCAAAAAGTTTAGTCTCGAGACGAGCACAGATGCTGGCTGCCTGCAGAGCTGCCCAGAGACAGCGGAGCCTCCCCGCCATCGCAGCTTTTCCTCCTTACTTCTTGGACTGTCCATGAGTGGGGAGATCCAGAGGAGGTGAGGTGGTGGCTGAATTCCTGAGAATGCAACTGCAGAAAAACAGGATTAACATCCAGAGAACTGCTACCACAAGAATTGGTGTTAAGAATGGAGAGCTCACTGCCAGAGGGATCACTCTGGGGCTGTCCTTCAGAAGAGCCATCTCAGGAGTCCCACGCTCTCCTGCAGGACCTGTCTGCCTTCATAGACTCTAAAGAACAAGACTCTGTGACCTTCAAAGATGTAGCTGTAGACTTAACCCAGGAAGAGTGGACCCTGATGGATAGGTCCCAGAGAAAGCTGTCCATTGGTGTAATGCTGGAGAATATCACTCATCTGGTCTCCGTAGACTGTCAGTTCTTCCAGTCAGATATGATTGCCCAGTGGGAGCAAGGAGGGGAGCTGTGGAAGGAAGAGAGAGGACTGGCCCAAGGCTGGGGTCCAGTTATTTCAGGCTTGGAAAACAGCTATCAAAAACAAGAAATAATATCTATGGAAGACATCTGCAGGGAGGATGCATCTAACTACAAGACAATAATACAGAAATGTCACTCAGGAGAAGACCCCTTTGCACATATTGGGTGTGATGGAGTTTTCACTCACCCCTACACATTGTCTCAGCATGTTTTAACTCACACTGGACAGAGACCCTATAAATGGAGTGAATGTGGAAAACCTTTCAGTCATAGAAATGACCTATATAGACACCAGAAACCTTATATGGAAGGCAAACTTTATAAATGTAACGAATGTGAGAAATATTTCCATAATAGAAGAAAGCTTTGCATACACCAGAGAATTCACACGGGAGAGAAACCCTATAAATGTGATGAATGTGGAAAACACTTCAGTCGAAACTCCCACCTTCGTTCCCATAAAATAACTCACACGGGAGAGAATCCATTTGTCTGTAATCAGTGTGGGAGTCATTTCAGGTATTTTTCATCTTTAACTAGACATAAGCATATTCATTCTGGAGAGAAGCCTTATGAATCTCATCTGTGTGGAAAAGCCTTTGTTCAAAGCTCTTATCTTAAACAACACGAGAGAACTCACACTGGAGAGAAACCATATAAATGTCTCCTATGTGGAAAAGCCTTTGTTACAAGCTCCAATCTTAGAGAACATGAGAGAACCCATACGGGAGAGAAACCATATAAATGTCATCTATGTGGGAAAGCCTTTGTTCAAAGCTCTTGTTTTAGACAACGTGAGAGAACCCACACTGGAGAGAAACCATATAAATGTCATCTGTGTGGGAAAGCCTTTATTACAATCTCTTGTCTTAAAAAAACACGAGAGAACCCACACTGGAGAGAAACCATATAAATGTCTCCTATGTGGAAAAGCCTTTGTTACAAGCTCCAATCTTAGAGAACATGAGAGAACCCACACTGGAGAGAAACCATATAAATGTCCTCTATGTGAAAAAGCTTTTGTTACAAGTTCTAATTTTTGAGAACATGAGAGAACTCACACTGGAGAGAAACCATATAAATGTCATCTATGTGGAAAAGCCTTTGTTACAAGCTCTTGTCTTCGAGAACATGAGAGAACTCACACTGGAGAGAAACCATATAAATGTCCTTTATGTGGAAAAGGCTTTGTTACAAGCTCTTGTCTTAGAAAACATGAGAGAACCCACACTGGAGAGAAACCATATAAATGTCCTCTATGTGGGAAAGCCTTTGTTACAAGTTCTAACCTTAGAGAACATGAGAGAACTCATACTGGAGAGAACCCATATAAATGTCCTCTATGTGGAAAAGCCTTTGTTGAGAGCCCTAATCTTAGAGAACTTGAGAGAACTCATGCTGGAGAGAACCCATATAAATGTCCTCTATGTGGAAAAGCCTTTGTTACAAGCTCTTGCCTTTGAAGACATGAAAGAACTCAACTCTAAATGCAGTAAATGAACACAGAAGAGCCTTCAGCCACAGCTCAAACCAATCCCAGAACTCCTAAATGGGGGAAATTCTATGGCCAAATTCATTATGGAAGTGCTTTCATTTCTAATTTATCATTACAGAACATGAGTGAACTTCATTTGGAGGAACCATATATTTATAATAAAGGAGAAAGAGACATTAGATGATCTCCGGATGTAGGATGCAGAAGAATATTCACTACGAATAATCTAACCTCCCTAAAATGGGAAATTACACAATTACAGATGGCGGTCACTCTAGTAGAATAGCAAAAATTAATGCTGGAGAGCTTATTCATTGTAATATGCATGGAAAAAATCTTTATTAGTAGAAAAACTTGTAGGCATGTGAAGTTTCACACTCTGTAGAATAGAGAATGAATGGAAGTCTTCAGTGATTTTTAATTCTTTAGTCAACATGCAATTTTCTCACACTGTATATATGCCATTGCTAAAATCAGATGAAAGGTTAGAGTTTACATCAGAAATTCCCAACTAGGAAAAACATATGAAGGATAAACAACATAAACAACAGTTTAGACATTATAGTTTTACCTAATGGCTTATTATAAAAGTGTAAGAAACGTGGGATTATGACATCTGGGAATTTTAAATGCAGGATTTTGTGACAATAATGTTTGTTTTTTTTTTAACTAGTAGTTAGAAATGCATATGAAGCAAAGTTGTTGCTAGAAAATCCATTACATTGGTCAGGTCCTATTTTCCATACAGCAATAATTATGATTGGGTTCAACTAGAAATAACTTTGAATATTAATTGTAAAACAACACAGGATGATGTGTCATTACAACATATTGTTGTTTTTTTTTTTTTGGATATTTAGACAAGCACGTGAAAGTGTTTATTTTCTGTTCCAGACTCTCATCACTTTTGTCATTTAAACATTTAGCATTTTCCCTTTTGTTTATATATATATATATATATATATATATATATATATATATATAAATTAATTTTTATTGGTGTTCAATTTACCAACATACAGAATAACACCCAGTGCTCATCCCGTCAAGTGTCCCCCTCAGTGCCCGTCGCCCATTCACCCCCACCCCCCGCCCTCCTCCCCCTCCACCACCCCTAGTTCATTTCCCAGAGTTAGAAGTCTTTATGTTTTGTCTCCCTTTCTGATATTTCTCACACATTTCTTCTCCCTTCCCTTATATTCCCTTTCACTATTATTCATATTCCCCAAATGAATGAGAACATACACTGTTTGTCCTTCTCCGGTTACTGTGGCCAAGTTCAAAAAGGGTGTTGCCTGAGTTCTCCTCTGGGATTTTGATGGAATCTTGTCTCACATTTAGATCTTTCATCCATTTTGAGTTTATCTTTGTGTATGGTGCAAGAGAGTGGTCCAGTTTCATTCTTCTGCATGTGGATGTCCAATTTTCCCAGCACCATTTATTGAAGAGACTGTCTTTCTTCCAGTGGATCGTCTTTCCTCCTTTATCGTATATTAGTTGACCATAAAGTTCAGGGTCCACTTCTGGGTTCTCTATTCTGTTCCGTTGATCTATGTGTCTGTTTTTGTGCCAGTACCACACTGTCTTGATGAACACAGCTTTGTAGTACAACCTGAAATCTGGCATTGTGATGCCCCCAGATATGGTTTTCTTTTTTAAAATTCCCCTGGCTGTTCGGGGTCTTTTCTGATTCCACACAAATCTTAAAATAACTTGTTCTAAGTCTCTGAAGAAAGTCCATGGTATTTTGATAGGGATTGCATTATACGTGTAAATTGCCCTGGGTAAAATTGACATTTTCACAATATTAATTCTGCCAATCCATGAGCGTGGAATATTTTTCCATCTCTTTGTGTCTTCCTCAATTTCTTTCAGAAGTGTTCTATAGTTTTTAGGATATATTTTGAGAACCATTTGAATGGTAAATGGTTCTCCAACCTTTTATTTTCAGGTTGTAGGTGTCTTTCTGTCTAAAATGAGTCTCTTGTAGACAGCAAATAGATGGGTCCTGTTTTTTTATCCAGTCTGAAACCCTGCGCCTTTTGATGGGGTCATTAAGCCCATTCACGTTCAGAGTTACTATTGACAGATATGAGTTTAGTGTCATCATGATATCTATTTAGTCCTTGTTTTTGTGGATTGTTCCACTGAACTTCTTCTTAAAGGGGAATTTTAAGAGTCCCCCTTAAAATTTCTTGCAGAGCTGGTTTGGAGGTCACATATTCTTTCAGTTCCTGCCTGTCTTGGAAGCTCTTTATCTCTCCTTCCATTTTGAATGAGAGCCTTGCTGGATAAAGTATTCTTGGTTGCATGTTCTTCTCATTTAGGACCCTGAATATATCCTGCCAGCCCTTTCTGGCCTGCCAGGTCTCTGTGGAGAGGTCTGCTGTTACCCTAATATTCCTCCCCATGAAAGTCAGGGACTTCTTGTCTCTTGCTGCTTTAAGGATCTTCTCTTTATCTTTGGAATTTGCAAGCTTCACTATTAGATGTCGAGGTGTTGAACGGTTTTTATTGATTTTAGGGGGGGATCTCTCTATTTCCTGGATCTGAATGCCTGTTTCCCTTCCCAGATTGGGAAAGTTTTCAGCTAGGATTTGTTCAAATACATATTCTGGCCCTCTGTCCCTTTCGGCGCCCTCGGGAACCCCAATTAAACGTAGGTTTTTCTTCCTTAGAGTGTCATTTATTTGCCTTAATCTGTCTTCATGGTCCTTTAATTGTTTGTCTCTTTTTTCCTCAGTTTCCCTCTTTGCCATTAACTTGTCTTCTATGTCACTCACTCGTTCTTCCACCTCGTTAACCCTCGTCGTTAGGACTTCTAGTTTGGATTGCATCTCATTCAATTGATTTTTAATTTCTGCCTGATTGGATCTAAATTCTGCAGTCATGAAGTCTCGTGAGGCCTTAATGCTTTTTTCTAGAGCCACCAGTAGCTGTATAATAGTGCTTCTGAATTGGCTTTCTGACATTGAAGTGTAATCCAGATTTTGTAACTCTGTGGGAGAGAGGGCTGTTTCTGATTCTTTCTTTTGAAGTGAGGTTTTCCTTCTAGTCATTTTGCTCAGTGCAGAGTGGCCAAAAACAAGTTGTATTGGAACACGGGGGAGTATCACTGGTCCGTCTAGCTGGTCTTCTGGGGGAGGGGCCTGTTGCGCTGATTTTCAGGTGTTAGCACTTGGGGGAGCTGCTCTGCCCCTGCCTGCTGCAGGGCTCAGCGGGGGTTGTTTACCCCGTCAGGCCCCAGGAGGAACAGTCGCAGTTGCTATGGCAACTCTGGAAGCCTGGATTCAGCCTCCGCAGGAACTACGGGGCTCGGGGCTCTCGGCTCTCCGTCCGCAGGGCCTGGAGGCTCCGGGGCGGGGCCGCTGATCTGCTCAGCTCGGGGCAGGAGCGTCCTTGCTGTCCTGGGCCCTCCCGGCCTCTGCCTGTCCCGGGGGAGGCCGGATCCTGGGCTGTGTCCCGGCGCCCTGTGCTCCGGGGCCTGCGCTGTTGGATTCGCGCTCCCGCCCCGCAGCTCCCTCCCTGGAGCCGCCGCCCGAGCCCCTCCGAGCTGCTCCTGGTGCGCGCTGCAGCCCTTAGGGAGCTCGGAGCACTCTCCTGGCGCGCAGGTGTCTGTTAGTGTCCCCGGGAGCCCGAGGGCATCCCCGCCCTCCTGGGTCCTGCTCCAACTCCCTGCGAGCCCCTTTCCGCCCGCCCGGGAAGGTTGGTGCAGCTCCTGCTCCTCCGGGACGGGGCTCTCCTGTCCTGGGGACACTCGCCCCGGCCTCAGCCCGGCTCCTCGCGGGGCCCCTCCCCCTCGGAGGCCTTTTGTTCCTTTATTTCTTTTTCCCCGTCTTCCTACCTTGATAGAAGCGCGAACTCTTCTCACTGTAGCGTTCCAGCTGGTCTCTCTTTACATCTCAGGCCGAATTCGTAGATTTTCAGGATGGTTTGAAGGTTATCTAGGTAATTTGGTGGGGACAGGTGACTCGGGGACCCTGCTCTTCCGCCATCTTGCCCCTCCTCTCCTTACAACATATTGTTAACCCTGTATGTAGATCTTGATGAATTAAATATTGATACATGAAAAAAAAAAAAAACAAAAAGTTCAGTCTCGTGGGAGCTTGGAATTAGTCTATTTTATTCTGTTTTATGAAAATCATCTACAACAGTGTCTGACATATGGTAGGTGTTAATAAATATTTTTGTTGTACTTATTTTTAATAATGATAAAAAGCAATTTAATGTGGGGTGGCTGGGTGGCTCAGTCAGTTTTAGGCATCTGACTCTTCATTTTGGCTCAGGTAATGATCTCAAAGTCATGAGATCAAGCCCCATGTCAGGCTTCGTGCTCAGAGGGGAGTCTGTTTGAGGTTCTCTCTCCCTCTTCCTCTGACCCTCCCCTGGTTCATGTGCTTGCTCTCTAAATAAATAATAATAAATAAGTAAACAAGTAAATAAATGAATAATTTTTTAAAAAGCAATTTAATGTGTAAAAATATAGAAATGGTGATATAAATGAGGATACACTCAAGAAATAAACTTTTATGGAGTCATTTAAAAGAAAGATATGAAAAGTGTGTTATGCAGAAACTTTCATTATATATTAAATATATATACATATATAATTTAAAAAGCAAGTAACTTAACATGATTCTTAGTATAGTCTCATGTTTGTAAATGTTTTAAGATGATGTACCCTGAAAGGTTAACTGTGGTGAGATATCATGTAATATTCTTTCTAATGCCATAATGTTATGTGTTGCTTGCCAAATAAAGTAATAAAATGAATTAGTAAAAAATTCACCTTAATAATTCTCCACAGCTTATGGAACACATTTCATACTGATTAATATGGCTAAAGGCTTCTGTGATCTTACTCCCATTGTCCTTTGCTTTTTATTTTTTATTTTTTATTTTTTATTTTTTTTGTCCTTTGCATTTTAATCAACTACTTTCTCTTCATGTACCCTTTGTTTTAGGCAA